TCGGTCCCCTGGGCCTGGGGAGGAGCTGATGTCACGGGTAGTTCCCTTGTTTCCCCGCAAACAAATGCTTTCGGTTCGGAGGAAAGTGGTCTGAGTCACCGTGGGTCCAGGCACAGCGTTGTGCTGGGTTAAGTAAAGGCATGATTTAAAACCTCTCGGTAAACCAGTGCAATTTATGTCGGCGGGGATAGCTCTGCATTGCAATCCAAAGGTGCGACTGCCGTTTTTGTAGGTATACCTGATACAACCCAAGCTAGGTAACTTAGGTGCTGATGTTGGTTTAGCTCAGGGATTCTCAACCGTTTTAAATTCAAGGTATCTCTCAACAGATGTAAGGCACCCTTTAGAAAATGCCAGCTTTTAGTTTCACTCATTTTTTAACTACAGAAAAATATCAGAGCGATTCTTTGGTTGTAAAGAACTCGGAAGGACCGGCACTGGTGAGAAAGTTTTGACGCTCGCTATGGACTCCTCTTGGAAATCTCTATAGGTTTATTGTGTGAATCATGTGTAGGTGATATGGCACCCTTAAAAGGATCTCCTGGCACCCTAGGTGCTGTGGTACGCTAGTCGAGCATCACTGGTCTAGCCCCTTCAGTTTGAGCTGCACATGCCTGTCTAGGCACCCTGGGGAAGTATGTACTGGGGGAAGCTCAATCCCATGCTGCTGCAGCCACACTGCGATCAGTACCAAAACCAGCTAATTGAAGGGAGCTTGGGTATGCTGCTGAGCTGCAAGTGCATTTTGTGATTGCATTGCAGACATACTCTAGGAGACTGACCTTCTCTGGGAACCACAGAACAGCTGCAGCATGAGCAGTGGCAGTTTCCAGATGCCCCACCAACTTTCCTAAACCACTTGCAAATGAACATGAAAAATTAATTGACACGAGTGCAAAAAATGCAGCCCTCGCACTGTCTATGATAGTGGAACACGTTTGATTCCTCTTCCCCCCCCCCCCTACAGTCAGTGCCAGTATTGTGGTATCATCTGATCCACACGAGAGGAGAAGATCCAGTCTCACACAATGACCCTGGCTATATGTGTTCTAAATATATTTATATTTAGAAAACGGACAAGGCACATAAGATGGCTTTCAGCCCATGCATTTGGCAGGGAGTAGCTTGGAGGAAAATTGCCTTGCTGCTGCCCGCTCCACACCTTTTCTGCGTATAAATGAAGGATGTCTGTTTGTCTCGGTATCTTTTGCCAGCACTCAGCTTGCATTGGCCACCCACCCTAGTTTACTGGTCTGAGCCAGATTGGTGTGCGTACATACCCCCGTCAGTATGGATTGGGAGGAAAATAAATCTGCATGCACATCTTTTCCGAATATTTGTTTAAAATAGAATTGGAAGAACAGATTCCTGTTAGTCACTGACTAGATATTGGACAAAAGGCTTTTTGATTTTTCCTGACCTAGAGCTGGTAAAGTTTGGCTGAGTGACTCAAGGGCTCCATGATTCAAATCCCTTCTGATGCAGCCTTTGGTATTTTCAGGACTTTGGCTTGACTCCTGGATTTGCTAGATGGGCGAGAACTTCCTGGAATTGGGATGTTAATCTGAACTACTTTGTTTTGTTCCCGCTCCTAACAGCTCCTATTTTGGCTATCCTGGCTTGCTAGTAGAACTGACTTGGGTTTAAGTCACATCTAAAAATAGTTTGTGTTGGTCTCTCGCTTTTATTTGTTTGCCATTAAGCTGAAATTTAGGCGGCACCTGATTTAAGAATGAAATTTGGAAAACGTGTTCCAGAAGTCTGACTTTGTGGTACAAGATTTTAGCCAACAATAAAACAATTAAACAGTTGTGGTTTGTACGCCATTGGTACGTGCCTTGTGGCTGAAGATGGCTTCCTAATACGCCTCTGTGACCCTATAATACAAATCCTATCGTTACGTGTGCGGTCTAATAGTACGGCAGTAACCCAGGATTCCTTGGTTCCGTACCTCACCCTGCCACTGATTTGTTGGGTGTTATTGGGCAAGTCACTTAATGTACAAGGAACTTTATCTCTCAACTCTGCGTTTTGTGTAAAAGTGGGAGTATTAACAACACTTATTTTTAATTTAATCACTGTCCTTGCTTTAAAATCCCTCTGCCTAAATAGAACCTAGTCTCTTGCCCAGAGCGGCTTTCTGTTCCCTCAATAAATGATGGAGTCAGCAGCATCTCTTTTTGGACGAGGCGCTAAGTACTTCTGCCTGAGTCGAAAACATGCTTACAGGGTAAGAGAGCTTGCCCTGCTACCGCCTGTGGTACATATTTGTTGTCAGAGGCTGTCAATAGGGTATGGCTCTCCAGAGCTGTCATTGAGCCACCTCTCACCCAGATAAATAGGTTTAAATTGGATTTAAAAGGCAAAGCCAAAAACAGATGTTAATGTTGTCAGCGTATAAAGCAAGTATTCTAAATCAATCTCGCTGCTTGCAGATGACATTGGCTACCTTTTCAGGAATAGTTGCTGGTGATGAGCGACAACTTTGCTCATGCATTTATAAAACAGGTGAGGGATTAAGGTATCTTTCTTCCCCAGCGAGGAGTTTGTGGCTGTCCATGCAATGAAGGCGCAGCTGTGATGAGGCAGAAAGTTCTAGGTGCTCAGTCAGTGTCTGACTTTGGGGCAGTTAGTAATTCAAGACCATTTAGATGTAGTGTAGAGCTGCATCTTCTACCTAATGTGAAAGAAACTTACTTCTGACCAAGATAAAGACAAATTACGGCTTGCTTTTTCATAGTTAAGGGCCATTAATATAAATAAAGGTATTACATGGCAAGAAGAAAACTTGGTGAGGAATTGCATTGCCTCAGTTGTGGGTGTTAAGTTGGGATATATTAAGATCAAACATGAGCTCCACATCAGATCTAAATTTGAATTTGATGATCTTCTTTTAAATGTTAGTGATGGGTTGGATCAAAGGATTTTGGTTGAGCCGCTCTCTACTTAAGATGTAGTTACAGAAGGCCGTACATGTATTGCTCATTCACCCTTATGCTGCCGTGTCATCTCTGTAACTTTCTTCCTGGTACCGGTTGATTGCAGGGCAGCTGTCTTCAGCAGCTAAGCGATGGGGTAAACTTCATGGATCCAGGTTTCCAGCAAAAACTTGAAGATGAAAAGGAACTAATTCGTCGGGCCATCCAGAAGGAACTGAAGATCAAAGAGGGGACAGAGAACCTGCGCAAGGTGACAACAGACAGGAAGAACCTTGTACATGTAGAGCACATGCTGAAATCTTCCAGTCGGAAACTGGAACAGCTGCACTGGGAGCTTCAGGAGCTTAATGCTCGCATTGTAATAACGGAGAAACCAGAGAGAAAGACAGGTAGGTCTTGGGTCAGGCTTTGTGGGGGAAGCTGGTCAGATAGCTTCAGCCTTTTCCTTAGAGCCAACTTGTTTTGGGTGCTAAGCCAGGAAGTAAGAATTGCTTCCATTCAGGAAAGGAACCTCAATTTGTCTTTGCATACATCTAGTTAAGATGAGCAGTGTAGAGAGAAACCAAAGTGTGGAAAGTTGGGAATGTCATTTACCAAGATGGAAGGAGGTGATACCGAATATGAGGGGGGAGAAGGCTAAATGAGAGCACTGGATGTGGATGAGTTTCAGGAGTAGGATGCAAACTGACTTGCAGAGCTTGGGGCAGCATCTTCAGACAGAATCCAACAGGCAGGTTCTGGACAGGCCTGAATGGGAATAGAGGTGGTGGCATCCTTGGGGCTTCTTCCCAAGAAATCTATAATTCCTCAGCATAGGGTTGTTATTAGAAAAGGAGACACAAGCAGGTAGGAGAGCTTGTTCCTCAGGTGAACCCATATTTGCACTCTCCCCCTCATCCCATCAGTAACCCTGCGTGGGATCCAAAAGAGAGAGAATGACAGAGGTCACTTTGTTGTTTCACAGATGAGTCTAGGTCTCCAGACCCTTGTCTCTGGGAACAGGACTCAAGCCTGGTGGCAAGGAGGATTGAGGCTCTTAAAAAACAGCTGCACATTGAGATGAAGGTGAAACAGGGAGCCGAGAACATGATCCAGATGTATTCAAACACAGCATCAAAGGTGAGTGTTGTTTAGCAGGAATGAGCATGATCATGTGGGAGCAAGGGGCACCGTGAAGCAAGATTTAATAAAAGTGCAAACACAGACTGTGTACTGCAGATCTGGGTGTGAGTGTGCTTTAATGTAGGGTTCATTTCAGGCTGTCTGTCTGAGCCCCAGCTGTGCAGTTCTGGCATGACGTACAGCTGTGGAACAGGCTGACATTCTAGCCTATGGGTGAGTGATGCTGTTCATGCTGCTTGCATCAGACTTGTAGCTTCAGGATGTTTGTAGTTGAGTCCAAGAACTAAGCAGAATAAAAAAGCCAAGTTTCACTGGGCGTAAAAGCTTGTGCTTCTGGGGTTTACGCTCATCTCTGACCTCCTAACTGCAGATAGACTTCCCAGGGAAGCGGGTTATCCCATATTTGCCTGTAGTGGGGTCTCTTGAACTTACCTATAAAGTACGTTAGAAGTGTTACATTTGTTTGATTACAAACAAAACATGCTACCTCCAGAGAACAGACTTGGGGAAGTGGTAGGACAGAACGGTGCCAAATGACCATACCTAAGGACAGATAGCAAAATGAAACGGAAAACTGTTGTGATTATGTCCTTTGTGCGACTCTGTCCCATGTCAAGTTTCTGATGCGTACCTAATTGGTATGATACTCATAATCTCAACAGAGTTTGAAATAGGTCAGAGTGCACAGTATCCCTGGAGATGAATTATCAGAGAGAAATTTGTAGGGATTTACTGTGTTTTTTTCACCTGTCCCATTTGTCAGATCTGGAATAATTTTATTTAATAATTGTATTTGAGAGTCAGGGTAATTCAAATGTAATTGTTTTTTTTAAGACACGTATGCTAAATTAGGTTGGGATATTGCAGTTTATTCCATCTCCCTCAACTCTGTCAATGCAATTGACCAAAGATCACAGGATTCAATTGCTACAACATCAGACCTGTCTTTTACTGGTTGAGTATGTCCATAGGTTAGGACTGTCCCATAGTAATTAATCACATCTGTGGGATCCTAACGCATCACAGGGTCCTTATCTCTGTATACAATGGTTATAAATCAAGGAACTCGATCCTTTTGTATTTCCTCTGTACAATCAGTTATGATGGTTTCAGGACCTTCTGCAACCCCTTGTCCTTGGATGTGGTAGCACCCCCTCCTCCCAGCTTAACACACTATTCAGATTCATTGCTGATCTGTCTAGATCTCTAACCACCCATTCTCTTTTGTCAGGATTGGAAGCTGTTTGCTACTGCCCAGCAGATGCTTCAGGACAGCAAGATGAAGATCGAGATAATCCGCATGCAGATTGTGAAGGTGTCTCAGTCGGCAGGAGGCACGGAGGATGCAGCGGATCCAGCAGGTAGGATGTTGGATACATCTGATGGCACTGAAGGGATGTTGCTGAAGCAACACTTGCAGTCTGGTACACTCAGCCTCTTGCTTGCCTGATTGCTCTGTTTATCTCCAACACCACCAGTGAGGACAGGGGCTAACATCAGTCTCCTGGAGCTGCGCATTGAGGAGCTGCAGCATCACCTACGCATTGAAGCTGCTGTGGCAGAGGGGGCAAAAAATGTGGTGAAGATCATAGGAGGCAGCCGGGTGCAGGATCGCAAGCTGTTGGCTGAGGTAGGTACCACTGCAACTCTCTGAAGGGTCGATAATGACTTGCCCTAGGCTGGAGAAGGCAAGGTAAAGATGCACCTAACAGAGTGAATCAGAGATGATGAAGTGAGCTCTTGCCCATAAAAGCTTATGCATGTCTGATTCAGTTAGTTTATAAGGTGCACCTCTACTCAGCCTTCTGACTGTTACTGGCTGTATGAGTGAGAGCATATTGTCCTTGTCATCTTGCTCATTGCCTGTAGTGCTTAATGGCAGTGCCTTTAACCTAGTGCAGTGGCTTTCAACCTGTGGTCCATGGACCTTTGGTGGTCCGCCAACTATGTCTAAGGGGTCCACGAAAGATGACTATGATCAATCAAAAGCATGTGAATACCCACACTTACAATTCAAAGGGGTCTGCACCTCCATTCAAAAATTTTTAGGCATCACAAATGAAAAAAGATTGAAAACCACTGACCTAGTGCATAGACAGTCCTCTACATATGCTGTGGTGGTTTGATTTGCATTTCAGAACTCACTTTGGTAACAAAGCTAGTGAGGAAGAACACTTGCAGCAAACCAGGAAAAAAAATGTTGCTTAGCCTTTAGAACAGGTAAAAGTGAGTTACAACTTTTTAGCTCTGCCACTGGTTTGCTGTGTAACTTGGGGCAACTCACTTTTCTTTGCCTCAGTTGACTCCTCTGTCTAATGGGGAAAACTCTCATGTACCCTGCAGGGCTCTTTCAAGAATTAGTTATCATTAAATGCTTTAAAAGCTTTGGTCAAATCTCTAACTCTGTGCATAGTGTTACCTATAGCAATCATTCAACTCGGATTCATTGTGCCAGCAATATTTAGTAAAAACCTTTAGAAGACCAAACTGCTGCTCTGAAGATGAGTGTACTGGAATGGTAAGAAGAGCATTGGAGCACATATCCTCAGCTTCTATTGTTCAAGTGGGAAATATGTTGGTGAGAGTTTACCCCAGTCTTTGTGAAGAGGGCTATATCCCTCTCATCCCACAAAGCAATGACTTAGGCGGATAAAAGTGGTGCTGTCTCTTGCCATCCTCTGCAAACAGGATGGCATCTGGCCCTTGAGTTTGCAAAGGCCCAGTAGTGCCCTGGTCTGGCAGTTCAAAGCCTAGACCCGTTTTTTCTCTGTGTCATGTTACCAGGCTCAAGGCCGCTTGCAAGAATCATCTCAGAAGATTGATCTGCTGCGTTTGTCCCTGGAACGGCAGCTTAGCGAGATTTCTCCTGATCACCCAAAGCGGGCAGCCATCAAGCAGGAGCTAGTAAACACTTCCTCTCTGGGAGCCCAGCATGGCAGGGTCCAGCCTTCTACTTCACTGATCAAACCTACAGCTCTTACAGGTACTTGAACTCTGTGCAGTTTGTTGTGGGGAGAAGCTGAGTTGAATGGGTTTCCTGTGTCATTGTGATGTGGACACTTGGTGTGCTAGGAAGTGGATTGAAGACATTGACTTAGCTTTGTGCTAGTCTCTACAAAATGTCAGATGGTGATGGCTTTCAGTCACTGCTGAGCTAGGTTGGGTTTGAACCTGTGATCTAAAAAGCAAAGCTAAAAGGGTTCTGGGCCCATGTGAGAACAGACTGAATGGAACAGTTTAACTTTTCTAGACATAACCTTCTTTGGTATGCTGCAATTCCTCAGGAACACTGGAAGTGAGACTGATGGGGTGTCAGGATCTGTTGGAGAAGGTTCCAGGACGTTCCCGAATGGCTGCTTCATCTCCTATCCATGCATCTCCAAGTGACCTGTGGTCCCTGACCAGAGCAAGGGCTGGTATGGGCATCTATGGCCTCAGCACTTCAGGAAAGCACTTGCGGAACGAGGAGCTATGTAGTGAGTATGATGTTCCCTGTCGGATCAGTGATGGTACTTTTGTGGTTCTGGTGTCTCCTAACAGTGTGCTGTGAGCACAGTGATGGGTAACCTGGGGCACTTGGCTCCTGAAATAATGAAGTAGAGGATGAGCCATCTGCTCGTCTTTCTCTTTAGTGGATTTCTCCTGTGCTAGAAATCTGACTGGGTGAGGGAGGCACCTCTAGGAAGGATGTCTTAGAAAGCAGTATCTTGCGAAACATAGTAACAAATGCTTTCTTCCTTGCCTAGATGAGGTGCTTGCGGTGCTCAAAGTGGACAATAAAGTGGTTGGTCAGACAAACTGGGGGCCAGTTAATAACCAGGCATGGGACCAGAGCTTTGCTATTGAGCTGGATCGGGTAAGTGTGATAGAAATAGTGGGGTCAGGGATCTCTGGTCTTGCCCTCAGGTCCCCTGTGTTGTAGCTGTTTGTTCTTTCACTTTATTCGCTTTACTCATTTAACTTGCTACTCTGTTTGAACCAACTCCTTTATTTGAACTGTCCCCCTTTCACTTGTTAAATACCATTAACGCTGTCTGCCCTGAAGGCAATAGAGCTTTGGCAGAACTTCCGCCTGAACACATCTGATGTTCCTCGGTCCCCAGGTGAGCAGCTTCATTCCGTTTTACCTGGAATACAGCTTACTTCAGGATATCTGACAGTGAGGGTCAGTCTCAAATCAAAGGCTGCAGGGAATCAGTTGAAGATGAGTTGCCTCCAAAGAACTGTAGCTTGTAAAATTCAGCAAAGATCAGAGAAAGTGAGAAGCAGTAAGGTTTAAGAGACTGTCATCTCTTCCTTTCTGTGTCTGTCTTGGATGCTGCATCATGTAGCTGCCCAAACTTTCTACAAGGCAAGAAAAGGATTCTGCTCCAGACCTCCAGGTAGAGTTCGGAGAGTGTGTTGTGTGTGAGATCCAAACCTGGACCTAGGACATTACCAAACTTCTCTTCTTGCAGTCCAGAGAGCTGGAGATTGCAGTTTATTGGCGTGACTGGAGAGAGCTGTGTGCAGTGAAGTTCTTGCGTTTGGATGACTTCCTCGATAATGAACGCCACGGGATGTGCCTCTCTCTTGAGCCCCAGGGGACGCTTTTTGCAGAGGTGAATGCTCCAGACTTCCTTTTCCAGGGTGGTCCCCATCCTGGGTCTCTTTTGGATGCTGCACTGAACAGTTAAATAATTCTGAGTTTAACCTTCCTTGCATCAGGTGGGTTCAGCTGAGGCACTAGTGAAGTGACATACCAAACGTGAGTGAGTCAGTGCCTGAGCTGGGACAGGAGCCCTGGAGTCTTGTCTCAGTTCCTTGCCCTAATCTCTAGACTGTCTCCCATCCTTGGTCTATAGTGGGATTACCTCCAAGGTAATCTGCTTCCTCCCTGGGAGAGGAAGAGGAAAGATGGGCTTTTGCAATGTAATTTTTTTCTTGTTTTCTTTTTTATAAACCTTATTTATTGCAAGGGCAACTTATCCAAAAACAAATTGAATGTTTAAAGATGCATCCATAATGCAGTTCTTTTCATCCCCCTGTTAATGGTGTGGTGTCTCTTGAAAAGAGCTAAGGACCTCAGAATGAAAGGTGTAAAGGGGGGCAGCATTCTGGAGTGGCCTGTTCAGCTGAAACAATCTGGGCTCAGCTGGCTAATCCCAGATACTCAAAGACATGTAGGTGCCCAACTGCTATTGATTTAAATGTAAATTGGGTTCTTGAATATCTTTTGCAAATGAGGGACAAAATCACCAGCTGAAACCGGGGAGCGTAATACTACAACGACGTGAGTATATGATCGCCCAGAGGGATGATTAGAGGGTGCCGTTAACGTTACCTGAGAGCAACAGAACAAAAGCAAGCCAAACCTTGTTTTTATGAGTTAATGAGGACACTTTTAATTAAAGAGAATGGCTTAATGATCAGGTCTGAATTACTCCTACTGCTTGGAATTGGAGGTTCTGGTCCCCTTGGGGCGCACTCATCCTTCTAAGGATGATGACAAAATTCAGGGAAACACAGACTAGGGAGTCTTTCAGCCCTGCTTCCTTAGCGAGCAAAAGGTTAGAAGATTCCTCCAAGGAATCTTACCCAGGTCGAGATCTGTGACAGCGTGATTATGCAGTTTCCCCATTTATCACTCATTTGATATGGGTCAACTGCTGCTTCCCACCCCTGAGATGGCTGCATTTCATCAGTAATGTGTGATAGTGTCTGAGAAGCTGGTTGATGTCCTTTAAATGAAGGAGAGCAGAGATGTTATGAACTGATCTGTCCCTTTGTCAGGACAGCAGGAAGGACTAACTTTAAACAAAAATAGAATTAACATGAAATCTGTGGGGTGTAGGTAGCATAACTCAGTCTGGGCCACGCCTGAACAAATGACTCCTAATTTCCTGAATGAATGAAGTATTTGATCAGAGGCCCAGTGTGCTTAAGCTAGTGTTCAAAGGGCAAGTAAAGGTCTCTGAAGAGTCTTCTCTGCTTTCCTGTCAGGTGATGTTCTGTAACCCTGTTATTGAGAGAAGGCCCAAGCTGCAGCGCCAGAAACGCATTTTCCCCAAACAGAAAGGTAACCCGATAGCAAACATATGCCCACTGGTGGGGGAAGGGGGGTGCAGTACCTAGTTTGATGCTGTGTTTTAGATGCTTGCAGGTCAGCATGTGTGAGTAGGAAGATCTGTTAGGGAACAGCATTAGCTCAACTCATTAGGCAAGTGGTAGAAGTCCGGTTGCTTGCTTCCCCCCCCCCCCATTTGGAATCAGGAAAGAATCTTACTCCAAGATCAGCTTGGCATAGATGGGGGGGGGGGTGCCTTTCTCGCTAGTGGGGGGCACCATCTTCTTCCTTGGATCTCTTGAGAGTATTTTAATAAACTATTTCCTGTCATTGTAGTGGCAGGCCATTGACAGTGCCCTTGTTTCCCTGCTTTATCTGTGGCATGTGTGGGTGTTTTTGATGCTTTTAGGCCCTGTGCCTGGTAGTTGTGGAGGGGGTTTCTTGTGCAGTTTTAAGAACAGGTTAGGCAAATACTTCTACGAGATGGCTTAGAAGGGGATGATCTTGCCTTGAGCAGGGGGTTGGAGCAGGTAGATTCCTAAAGTCCCTCCCAGCCGTACTTCCCTGTGATTCTATGGCTCTAACGTGCCATGTGCATATTGCAACACTGCTAATTTCACCTCCTCCAGGAAAGGAGTTTCTCCGAGCTTCTCAGATGAACATAAACATTGCTGCCTGGGGCCGCCTAATGATGAGCATCCTCCCACCATGTAGTTCCCCGACCACTCTCAGCCCTCCACTTCAGGATCCTGCTCATTCAGATTTCGCCTCTCCAGCTCCACTGCCAAATCAAATTGATTTGATATCCAGGTGGGACAGATGAGACCTGTTGGAATTAAGGCTGGGAAACAGACACAAATGGGCACAGAGTGCATCTGAACACTTCGTGAAACTTCATGGGGTTGGGAAAAATCTTGGTATGAAAGCTCTGTTTATAGGACTTGACTCAGGATAGTGAGGAAAGCTAATACAGACTGAGATCATGGATTTAGTGGCCCATTCAGTGTAGTGCAGGCAGTTCTGATTTATTGTTTGTTAGACCAACTTTCAAAATCACAATTCTAAAGAGTGGCCTGGTTTCAGAACCAGGTTTTAATCAGCTTTCCTTTTTTTTCTATCCTTAAATGTCACATGTTAGAGCAGGAAAAGCCGGAGACAAGAATGTGGTGGCAGGAACATGACAATGTGAGGGAAAATAAAGCAGGTTGTCATGCTTAGTTTGACATGTAGATTATGCAGTTGCAAGGAGTGACCTGTCCTTTTATTAAAGTTCCTTAAGATGTGCAGTATGTGGGTTCTGTAAAAGGCCACAATTTATCCAGTACTGGTATAGAATACAATCCTCCTGTGTGGATACAAATAATCCAACCATGCACCTGAATAGGTTGTTCCAAAGCTGTGTGCTTCAACTCTTTTTCATTTACACCTGAAGAAAATAATTGGTCTACCTGCCCTGGAAGAGGACGAATAGCCAACTGATCTCAGCTTAATTTAACTGAGGTTTACTTTATAGTCTTTAATTGGATGGCTATGATGTTGGTAGACATTTCTATAGCATACATAGTGTCTGTGTGCTAGGTACCCTGACATGAGTAGAAACACCACCAGCATAATAAAGGCTTCTTTCCTTCAAATGAATTTTGAAGGAGCGTGTTTTCCATTGATTCCTCTCAGACCTGGGGAGTGTGAATCAGGGAGTCTTACCCTCCAGTGATTTGGGATGACTTTAAACTTTGTATAAGTATTTTGGGTGCTGCATGTTTGGCCATCATACTCTGTTCCTTGGAGATCTACTTAAAATATATTCTTTACATGCAGTAACTTTCCAGTGGGTAAACTGATATTTGATGAAGAACCTCCCTGCAAGCCTCCACGCCTCTTTCTGCCGGCAGACTCCAAAGAAATGGTGCCTTCTCCCACAGACTCTCCAGTAAGAATCTGAATGAATGGAGGGATTTTGGAGGCTGGGCTGGTTTTATTAGAGATGGGGCTTTGCTCTTCCCTTCCAAATCAAAAAATGTAAAAAATGCTGGGGAGGAAATTTCTCTCTCTTCTGGTGGATGTCACTTTAGGGCTAGCTAATCTCCTGGGGTGTAGAAGCTAGTGAGATGGCTTAGCATTGGGTTTTTGGCCCTCAAGAAGACACTAAAGAGAGATGTTC